ATATATATATATGTAGTAAATTCCCAAGACTCCTTATCTTTGTGTTTTGGGGAAGAATGATTCTTATTTCTTGCCTATGGGTCCTTCCTGTCACCTCCACCTCAGTGTGTTGGGTAATAGGTTAATGTCTTTGATTTCTGTATGCTTATTTTGTGAAAGTAAAAAGGACTAAATAAGGGAAGCTGGCTATTCAAATATTTCTTGGAGTTCTGTTTTGGTTTGTTTTGCCTGGTGAGCAGGGAGTGGAAAAATGATGCTTGAATAGAGTGACTGTGACTTGTCTCCATATGTCTGACTGTGTGTGTGTTGGAATGAAGCAAGTCACATTTGGGATACATTTCTGTACTTCTGAAAGGCTTTTGAACCCCATCATGTGCTCATACAGCATCTTTTGGGGCTCAGATAAACAAATTCAAACGAACAAACAAAAGTGATAGCTTTCATGTAGCTCTGCCCTGAAATGAAAGCCACTTACTTCCTGTGATAATCTTGAAAAATTTAATCCTAGTTCTGAAGATCTGAACCAATATGTGCTTTCTTTCCTCTTAGCAGGCTGAATGTAAATTGCTTGGCTATAAAACATAAATGATCCTTGGGTAATGGCTTGGGAAATAAAGCAATAACACCAATTTAATTTCTTCAGACACAGAATCCAGTCATAGCACAACAGTTCAGCCTACTGCAGATCCAAACACCCATTTGGTGGAACACTTGGACAGGACAGGACCTCTTTCAGTGACAACTCGTAAGGATGATGGCACGCAGCCTCTTTGTTGACTGCCTTCTGACTTCAGCTCTCGCTCACTTGCTGAAATGTTGCATTTGGTGGTGAAGGTGCATTCTTTGCTATGTGGCTCAGCTCATCCTGGGGCTGTGAATCTGTTTTGTTCTTTGTATTTCTTTTGGGGTTCTTTAAACTTGAGTTTATCTTCATTCTTGGTGCCTTTCAGAGTCAATAACTCTGTTAACAAAAGGATATGAGACCTTCTCTGTGCTGTCATGTCAGTGACATTGAAGACAACTGGAATAGTGGGGTCTATGTGCTTTAAGTGACAGTCTCTTTGGATTCCCATCCTTCCTCTAGCCAAGGCAGGATTGCTTTCATTATTGTAAAAAGACATTTTGAGAGCCAGATAATCACAGAGAGTAGGGAAATCACATTATCATTCAGACGACAGACAAGATGTGTTGTTAACAATTGACAAAGGTGTTGGAGTCCCTGGAACCAAAAAGAACCATTTATTAATATATTTTTATATCACTAAACATCTGCTAGGAAGCTATCTGAAATTTCTAGTAGCCTTAATTTCCATCATATGTACAACTATGATAGCCCAGGGATCAGCCTGAAGTCATTCATAATTTCTTGGCAGACTATGAAAGAAATCCCAAATTGAGAAGGCTTCATTTCACTGCTTGATCTACATAATAGACAGAGTCCTTTGTGGAAGCCCTTTAGGTCTAGGGGAAAAAATCAGTGAGCGTATGTTGATTCTCATCAATGTAAATAGCACAGTGTTAAGCATCAAAGAAGATATACATAAGCCTACAAATAGGACTTGTATTCCATTTTGTGTTACCATTGACTTTAATTCTAATATTGGGTGTGGGATTTAGTGAATGTCTCTCTCCTGGTTATAATTGTTATTTGATGGTGGACAGAGCTTATGGGTGTGTTTTATGGAGCATTTGCACCTGCAACTCAGAGGTCAGTGCCTTTCTTGGAAGAGCACAAAAGAAATGAACTCAGAACAGTCAAAGTGATTTCAGATATGGGCAATGTTTCAATTTCAAATTGATATATGTCACTGAGGGCCCTGTGTTTGCTCTGGCAAGCGTTTCATTGGTGCTGCAAAACCCTACTACAGGAGAGACTACAACCCTAACAATGAAGTGGTAACTTAAATTTAATGGGCACTAGAAGGGATCTGTGTATTTCCTTATAAACTTGCTTTGAGTCAATTGATAGGATTATTGTAGATGAACTCCTTTCTCTTTTGTACTTACAGATATTCTACAATATCTGTTTTCCTTATGACCACAGTTAGGGGCTCTGAGTGGTAGAGGGAACACTGAAATTCAGGCATTGGTTTTCCATTTCTCTGTGTTCCTTGGTTCTCCTTGGAACAATGTACAGCACTGGGATTAAGATGGTCCAGGGTAGACAAAGTTTTGGCTCAGGCATTACTGTGATACTTTATTGAGAGGCAAAAGAACCAATTAGGGGCATAATATAATTTTTCTGTGTATTTCTATCAATCAGCTGCAAGGGAATGCACAAATATTATCTTCCCTGCACATCTGTCCATCTGACATCCTGTACCTAGGTCTTCCTTACTAGTGGATAACAGAGGACTTGTATCATGGCTCCAAATTAACACTGGCTTCATCCCTCATTGAAACAGAGCAAAGTCATTCTCAGAGCATCTCTACATTACATGGAGAAGTGGAAGAAGATAAACACCACCAAACAACTCCCACTCCACCACCCAGCAGTAAGGATTATAGCACAGTTGATTTGGGCTCTTAATAAGAAATGAATAAGTTATGGGGTACTTTGTGGTGTCTTTGGTGGTGGTACATTAGTTTGCTGTTTTTATACGTTTAGTTTTGATCAAAAGGTGTGCCTGTCTGGTGGTGGTCTCTGAATTTCTCCTTTGTAGACCTCTTAGAAACCACTGTGTAGTCAGTGCAAACTATATTGCTTAATTTAAAACCTGTTAAATTTCTTAAACTATAGCATTAGTAGTTTGGTTTATAAATAATTATTGTTTTTATAAGATATCTTTGATACCAATTGCATTAAACTGATTTCCAGTGTGTCTTCTAGACCACATCTTCACGGTGCTGGGGGCTAAAAAGCAGTGCCTATCTAATAAAGAAAAGAATAGATTAATCGACTCAGGTCTTTGAGATCTTGCACTTGTTATTCCAATTGCAGGCAGAGTAATTTTGTCTTTCAATCCAATGATGCTTTTCGTCCACTTCTTCAGAAGTGGATCCAATTGAGGAAGAGCTCAAATTGTTGTAATACCCAAGTTGACTTCACTGTTATAGTGTCATTAGCTTCCTTAATAATTTGGGCAGATAGTGCAACAAATGCCTGGTCTAGGTAGTAGTCACCAAGATCTCCACTGTTGAGTGATGTCCAGCTGTTATCTTTAGCAAAATCTTGGTTTTCTTCAATACTGTTTGCTTTTGCTCTTGGATAACAAGTGGAAAGATGCTGCGGCAACTTCGCATTCTGAAGACAAGCCCATGGTGGGTGGCGGTCTTGCAGGTGTGGGTTTATCATTGACTCCACCTCCTCACAGCTAGGAGTGGTGACAAAGATGGAAGAAGAGGTGGAAGTCTTCCTGAAAACCCAACTACTTCCCTGGAAGGCCATTCCCCTCATTACCCAGACATAAAGGAAAATGGGACTTTCACCCCAGTGACCCCTGTGGAGTCTGGGGCTTTTGGAGAAACCGAAGTTACTGCTGCTGCAGATTCCAACTTTAATGTTGATGTCTCCTTACCAGGTAATTTGGCCTTTTGTCATCTGGCTTGCTTCTCTGGAGAAACAACATATATTTTTCTTATTATGGGGGACATTTTCTGTGTAGGCTGTGGTTAGATTACTTCATGCCATGGGAATGGTTTTCATCCTTGGTCATCAATTCTAGTGCCAGTAAACTTGGATTTATTTGAGATAAAATAACAATTCCATTTCCCAATGTAATTTCCATTTATTTTTGTGACTTGGTTATGGTGGAATTTCTTGCTTTATCTTTTCCTCATCTTGTGATATATCAAGTTGAATCATATGAAAGATATGTTTGTGGATAAAAATAGTTGACTATTACCAGTTTCATTTGATTCAACCAGTATGTGCTCTTTGGTAAGGCTTTATCCAGTATGCAAATGACTTCCACATGCTAGCATCTTTACTCAGAAACGATCTTTTATTGCTGATGGATTAATCAATTGTACTTTTGGTGATGGGTTGGCAGAGAAACCTTTTGTATTGTGAGGCACTTCAAACTTCCTGGTTTAATCTACTGTTAACAAATAGGAGCCTTGTCTTCTATCATAATAGCAAAGAGTTGACTTATTGAGTGGAGTATGACAGGAAGCCTGAATGAGACTTTTCTTCTCAAATAAGCAATCTTCCTCATTACTTTTCTTTCTTTCTCCATTTGTATTAAGAAACTAACACTAAAGAAACGGGAAATGGAAAATGCTCTCTGTGCCTGAAAAGCTAGAAACTCCTTCTGGCCTTCTAGTACCTGTACTCCTGGTGCCTCTTGCTACTTGATCATTAACACATTAAAGATTAGTTACTTTCAATAATACGCCTTTACAGAAAAGGCTTTACCCCCTCCACTCCCCCCCCCCCCCCCCAAATAGAGAGGAAGAAAATGATCTTATGAGAATCTCATATGCAAAACAGATGGTGGTGATGATGCTCTGGTTGATATAGGAAAAAGAAACCCAGGATGTCAAATGGTTGGCCTGTTTCCTTTGGCTGCCCATCCCAGGACTTCTAGAAAAGGAGTTTTAGAAATACAGACTTCAGCAGTATTGGCAAGACCAAGGTCTTTTTCATTACTAAGGTTTTTGCTAAGCACCCTTATTAGTAATTTACTCTTCCTTATTAAAACCTCCAAGTTCTATTGTTAGTTTCCTGTTGGAGAAATAAATGCAAGAGTGCCACGAACTTTCTCATGCCAAAATGAACTCGGTCATGCAACCTAATGGATTTAAATTTAAGACAACAACCTTGGTTACAGTGTCTTAGGCTGCTTACAGTGTCTGATTGTTAGCAAATAAAACACATTCTGAAAAATTAGCATTTAACATGAACTGAGTCCCCATCTAACTCAGTGTAAGTGAGGAGGCCGTGTGGATAGTTTTCCATAGTTCTCTGTTAATGCAGTGCTTAGTAAATGACCTGATTTCCATTCCTTGTTTTCTTCCAAAACATTCACATAAGTACATCTGTCCGTACATATTTCTCAATCTTTGTGCTTAATGTAAAGAACTAATTCATTTGGACTTGCGGTTGCAGTGGTGGTGATGGGCTTGATGGTGGTGATTTTGGTGGTGGGACTTGCGGTTGCAATGGTGGTGATGGGCTTGATGGTGGTGATTTTGGTGGTGGGACTCTCAGTGCAGTATTTCAGGCAAGTACTATTTTTTGTGATTCTATCAGCCAAGGAATAAAGCAGTCTCTTGCTAGGAAGGTTGTGGGCAGTGGCAAACAACCTCTGCCTCTCCTCATCAGAGAACTAGTGATGACCAGCTTATTATATACTCTTTCTGGGCCCCTTCATAGTGAACTGTAACAGTTTTATGAATCCTGATTCTATGTATGTATATTTACTTTTTTTTTTTTTAAGATTGCAGTGTACTTTTGAAAAGTGGTATTGGGTAAGGGGGAGAAGTCAGAGAGCTTCCCAGATGCTGAATGTAAGACTTGACCTTGGGATTTAAATTTAGCCATTCTTGAATTTGATTCTTTAACCTAAAACTTTCTGGTGATTGATGTTTGATAAAATGGGATTATATTAACTGTTATTGTTGTAAATGCAGGTGCAACTTCTGGAAAAAAATATTATTGGAACTTATTCTACTATCCAGAGATGTATTATTCACGTGTTATTTCACCATTTCTTTTTTCACTGACTTTCGACCTTCCTTCCCTACCCTCTGCATAAATAGTTTACTTTTCTTTTTGACTCTTTGACTCATTAATTCCTAAGATTCTTTTACTGCAGACTCAGAGAAACCTCTTTCCATGTCTCATCATCTGAGCCAGAGCTCACCGGTTTCCAGTGACCACATCTCAAAGTCCAGTTCTTTTTTTAAAGAGCATAGTGTCTGGTTCCAAATTCAGTTCTGTGGAAGCATCATGATACCTTTCTGACTGTTCCTTGCCACCATTCTTAGATTTCTACTCATACTTTTAATGGTTATCCTGGATGGCCTATGCTACCTCAGTTTCCTTCATTTTGATTAAGGCCCTAGCCTACTTATCAGTGGATTAGGTGCTGAGCAGTGGTTTCTTGGTTTCCTTTAGCAGATTATACATCGTGATGGCTTTATGAAACCACAACCCAAGGAAATGCGGATGGCAGCATGAGGGGACACACAGTACTGACCTTCTTTCTTGCTCATTCCAGGAGACACAGATGCAGGCAGAGACCCCAGCGGGGGTTCCCACACTGTGACTCAAGGATATGAGTCAGCTGGTGAGTTTGAATTCTTTAGTAACTTACTATTATAATCATTGATCCTGATGGTTGCCAATGATGTATGAGTCAGGGTCTCTAGAGAAGAATTTCACACTTACTTAAAAAAAAATCATGTATTACAGTCACAGGGAGGGCTTATTAAGTCACTTTTCTGAACCCCACCCTGAAGTTTCTGATTCAGTAGATCTGGGGTGGAGCTCAGGTATTTGTATGCCTAATAAATTTCTCAGTAATCCTGATACCATTGGGATAGGAGCTACACTTTGAGAACTGCTTTAGAAAAAAAGAGCTTCCATCTCAAAGGATCGGGAAGAATTCAAGCAGGGCCCCCATTTAACATCACCCTATGCCAGGATGACTAAAAGAACTCTGTTAAAAGAATAGCCTGTGTTTGATCCTAGTTTCTCCACATATAAATTCAGCAACATGATTATAGGGTCTGAAATTCAATGTCCTAACTAAAAAACTTGAGGTAATAATTGTTACAGGACATTCTTCCGGACAGAATGAATGAATGAAAATGACAGAGTGACTATATGGAAAGGGTTTAGCATAACTACTGGTACTTGATAAAATAGCTAGCACTTGATAATTCACTGAGTTCTAGAAAGATTGAGCAAAGTACGTCATATTAGGTTGGATCACATGGAACTGCTATTTCTGTAGGGAAAGAATAGCTAATATCAGTAATTTAAAGTTCATCTAAAATGAACTCATTTAATTATCCTACAAACCCTATGGTGTATATAAGTACTGTCATTATCTTCATATTACAGATGAGGAAACAAAGATAAGGGAGGGTAAACCGCCTGGCAAGTTGATATGGCCAGTGAGTGATGGAGCCAGGTTTCAAGCCTGAGGTCTCGTATTGAATCCTTTCCTAAGCTTAGTCTAGAGGAAAATTCCATAATGACCATAATTACTGCCAGGCATGCATTATTAAATAGATTCTTCTTGGCCATGACTCAGATCACACCCCTGCAAATGTTACTCCAGGCAGTAAAGTCTGACATGAAGTCGACTTATTTCTGACCTGTAATGCTGGGGTCACAGAGAGTGTCTCCTGGTGCTTCCAACTATGAGCACCTGAACATTGCAACTCCATGTGGCCCATAGCAGCTAAGTAATCTGTATACATTACCACCCTCTGCTATGTGATTAAATTGGGGAAGCACTGTCCCCAACAAATCTGAGAATGGATATTTAAATGGTGGCTTCCATAATAGCCCTTTGATGTAGGCGCCCTGGGACATAGGGCTCATTAGAAATACTGGTGTAGAGACAGATGTTTCAAGCCCACTAGGGTCCTTAGGTAGCATACTCAACCTTTCCCAGCTTTAGTTTCCTCACTAGTAAAAAGAAAGATGGTATCGCCTGCTTCAATGACTTCCTACTTTTAGTGAGGAATACAAGGTATCAGGAATGTGAGAGGATTTTGGAAACAGGGAAAGGCAGAATTCCTAAAACCAGGAGATCCCTGCTACTCTAGGTGTAGTCTGTGGACCAGCCTCAGAGACATCATATAGGAGCTTGCTGGAAATGCCTAAGCTCTGCTCCATCCAGACACGCTGGATCAGGGTCTGCATTTTACTAAGTCCTTCTATCAGGTGCTTTAGTGCACAGTAAAGTTTGAGGAGCTCTGTCCTCCACTGTCTTTCTCACAGTTGAAGCCAACTGAGTGAACTCTATGCCCACTTCTTGGGTTGGGCCTCATCTCCCAACTGGTGTGTCTAGTGCCCTGCTCTGTAGAACCTGTTCTCCAGACTTGGCCTAGCCTGGTTGGATTTATGGACCTCTCAGGCACAAGGAAAGCTTGCTGTCTCTTGTCCATCTTCTTCTGCTTTTGCTTAAAGTGAGAAGCAGGTGGGCGGGAGCTGGTCTCTTTTGTTTGGCTTCTGTGCAGCTGTCTATTGTTCAAATGGAAGGTTTCATCTTGTGCACACACCCAGATCTTTCCTTGCTGGGAGCACTTTTTGGGAAAATGAAAATAAAGAGATTATGATCTATTAATGGCCTCCCTTTCAAATTTCAAAGGCTGCTATGAGTCAGACAAAAGAGACCAGGGAGCACAACTTTACCTCTTCAGTGGTTTCCAAGGCTAAAGCTCTCCAATTTAGAGGGCTGATATCCCATGACTTGTGCATGCGCAAACCTGTGGGAAAAGTGCCTTGGACTCCTTTGAGATCTGTGAAGTGAAAGGCCACCATCATAATGCAATGGGGTATGTCGAAACAGTCAAACACCTGGCAAACACTTGCTTTGTTGCATTTTGAGTTTTAATAAGCACATCAAATTGTATGAACTGGAACCATTCTATATAATTAGATTTCAATACTCTGCAGAGTCTAAAGTTTGACCCTCTAAGAAAAACTTTTCTTTTAAGCCCTGCCATCTTAGTCAATGGATTAGCCAAACAATCTTACTCAGTTTTTTCCCCTCTGTGGCCTTCAGGATTCTGTAACAGGTTGTTATTTTGTGTCAAGGAGTGGCAAAAGAATGAAAACACAAACCCTGGAAGTTTCTTTTAAAATGTGACATCTTCCTCATTTTGATAAGACACCAGTGTTTTTCTAATAAATTCTCTTTATTTTTATTCTATGTATGTGAATGTTTTTGCCTGCATGTATGTAGATGTACCATGTGCATACAATGCTTGCAGAGGTCAGAAGAGGGTGTCTAGATCCCCCTAGAACTCAGAGCTACAGGCTAGTGTTAGCTGCCGATTGGGTGCTGGAAAACAAATGGAGGTCCTCTAGAGGAACAGCCAGTGCTCTTAACCACTGAGCCACCCCTCTAGCTTTGCATTAGTGGTTGCAATGCTTCCTTCCAATTTGGGCTTTTTATTCATTTCCTTATTTTGCTTCTTTAAAATTTTGTTTTTATTGAATTTATGTGTATTTCATACAGAATATCTCAAACAATCTTAATCATCTTTATACCCCTATATGGGCAACCACATACTCTGTCATCCATGTTAAGGTCCACAGTATCTAGTCAGTGTCCCAGGACGTTCCTCAGTGCATGTCCATCCACTGAGGTCTAATCAGCCTATCTAGATTCTCTTGTTTTAGGAAGCCTTTTGCTTTTTAGCAGTAGAAAATATGCCTTTTTCTATATGCTTTACTAATGTACTTGTTAATTTTTTAGAGACAAGAAAGGCTATAACTTCCCACCAAAATCCTTAGTTTTGGGTGTTCATATTGGCTTCCTTAATGTTGAATGTGAATTTTAGACTCACTTTGGACCTTCTGAATCATGTGTATTCCCTAAGGATCTTATTAAAATGAAGGTGCTGATCCTGTAAGTTTGGAGTGAAGCATGAAATTTTGCATTCCTGGTAACCTCCCAGTTGATGATGCTGCTGGTCTAGGGGCCCATACTGAGAGTAGCAAGATCTCAAACACAGAAACTAATAACTACATATAACTACACTGTCATATGCTTCTTCAAGCCTCTGTAGGATGACAATGAAGTGGATTCGATTATGATTCTCATTTTATAAGTGAGAAAACCAAGACTTAAAGAAGGTAACAAACAAGGACAGTTTGCTAGCAAGGGGTAGAGTTAAGACTTAAACCCAGGCTGTCCAGCTTTGGAGCTCACTAACACTACTCATCACTGCTCCTGAAAATGTCATGTTCCTTGAGACAAAATAACATTTCCAAGTCTTAGCTTAGTCACACTGAACTGTTTTGGGGGAGGGGATGATGTCTTTTGTGTAACACTTTATAAATATCTGTGACTTAAATCTATTAATAGTTTCTGGTGAGGCAGCTGTTGGAGGGTGGCCCAGCACACTGCTCTGGAAGGAGCTCCTGCCATATATTCCAAACTTGGGCTGAAAAATCTTGTTGCTTTTCCCCTCAGGACACTCTAGTGGGAGTCAAGAAGGTGGAGTGAACACAACTTCTGGTCCTGTGAGAAAACCTCAGATCCCAGGTGAGTGTCCCACTGTGAAGCAAACAAATAAAAGATGTTTAAAACAAGTTTCTCAGAATGTCCCAGGAAGGAAGAAAAGACCCAGTCAAATCAAATGCACAGCCCTTGAACATGATCATCCCTCTTTACAAGTTTAAGAATAAATGAGGGTATTAACGCCTCTTTGTGGGAAAGAAGAGAGCTCCCTTTTTTCCCCAGCTCCTCCAGGTCCCATGGGTGGGATGAGCTCACACTGAGGCCTGTCTCTGGCCTGCCTCAAAAAAGTGCAGTGTTAGTTACTAAAGCATCCTTCCCACACGAATGACCACCCAGCAGACCCCACTGCCACACCTACGTCCCAACCCAGTTTCCCCTGCATTTCTGGGACTGGAGGTGAAGTATGTAACTTTCTTTGTATAGTGTAAGCAAGGAGGCTATACAGAGCCATCTGTGTTGGGTGGAGTGAAAAGAGGTTTCTGGTCCCCAAACTACTTTTCCTTGAAGGGATGATGGATTGATTTGGCCAGAAGAAACTTTTCAAAAATTATTACATGTGCAGCCAGAGGGCTGGAACAGTTGGCTTTCCCATATTGCAAGATTTAAGGCCTTTGATGCAGATTCATCATTTGACTTAGGGTCAAAACTGAGCATATGTAAAGGGATATTCCACAAAGGAAGGTTCCCCTAGCATTGTAAATCACCCTTTTAATTCTCTCTTGTTTGGTGGTCTCCAAACCAGCATCCCTTAGGGAAGGAGAAGAATGTGGCATGTGCCCTGCTCCTCTGCTTCACTGTGCTGACCACCCTAGAAGGCAGGACATCTAGAGAGAGGGAGTGGGTTTCCAGGGAGGAATGGGAGGGGAATGGAAGTGCTGTTCTCAGGCAGGAGGATTCCTCCCATTTCTAGTGAGAGGGCTGGAGGCCAGGCAGGTTGAGAGGAAGAACAGAAATGGCACCTTCCTGTTGTCCCTGCCTCCTTGAGGGGAGCTGAAGGGGAGTTACAGCTGGAAGGAGGAAGAAAGCAGGACTCCCAAGGAGAGGTGGACAGTAACCGACTTTCCACCTCTCTTCTTTCTCAGGCCTTAGTTTGTTGCATACAACTGCACTGATTCAACTTGTCTAGTCACACTTTAATCCTATTAAAGCCTGATTTTGACATGTGTGTGTGATATTTCATTAGTCCAAAAGGAGTCCATAATCATCAAAGAAACTTTAGAAAATACAATTTGGGGGCTGGAGAGATGGCTCAGCAGTTAAGAACACAGGCAGCTCTTGCAGAGGACCTGGGCTCAGTTCCTAACACCCACATGGTGACTAACAACTATCTGTAACTCCAATTTTAGGGGATCCAATGCCCTTTTCTGGACTGTGGGTTTGCCTGCATGTGGTGCATTTATATACATGCAGGCAAAATACTTATAGACATAAAATAAAAATAATTTTTGAAAAGATAATGCAGCTTGGCAAAATGGGTGAAATAAAAACCACTTATCTGTGTCACCACACAGAAGCACTGTAGCTACAATTTTAATAGCTATTCTGCCTGACATTTTGTAATTCATTTACAAAAATACCATAATACTGTTTGGTCAATACACTCTGATGTTTGTCTCCACTTTCCATGTCATTAAATACTTATCCCTTGTATTGTAACATAATACCATAGATAAATCCTAATTTATTTATATAATCTCTTACTATTGGACATTAGGTTGTTTTCAGCTTTTATTATAATAAATAACATAGTAATGGACATCTTTATAGCTAACTTTGAGACTCTATAAGTTTCTAGAATTATAACTGTTTAAGAAATGGATGTTTTGAAGTCTGTTGTGGAGTCCAGTGACTCTCAAATGAGTGCAGAAATCCACCCTCCTTCCTCTTTTCATAGGAATGCCCTTTACCTCACCCACTAGACTGTGACCTTCATCTTTATGTCTGGATGGAATATAAGACAGGTGCTCTTACACAGATGTGGAGTGTTCCTTTCAAGAAAAGCATAAATTTGCTTTAATTTACTTAACAACTTTTCACCAAAAGCACCTGCAGGCTTCAACAAGTCATTCTCTATGTTTTGGGAAACATACTACTTCTGGCAGGATTTGAGAACCTTAACGGATGATAAAAGGTTAATACAAGAGACTTGTTAGATTAATATTTTCACCCAAATCTCTGTCTTAGAATGATCTAGATGTGGGTTGGACCTTTTGGTCAGAACTCTCTATGATGCTGATTAGGGGTCCTTTTTTAAATTGTATGTTTGACTTTACAAAGCTCACACATGTCCTTTGGTTCACTCACACCAGAATGGCTCATCATCCTGGCATCCCTCCTGGCCCTGGCTCTGATTCTTGCTGTTTGCATTGCTGTTAACAGTAGGAGAAGGTAAGAAAAGACTCTTTGTGTCCTTCCACATTGAAGAGCATCATGTAACATAGCCCTGCTGCTCAGACTGTAGTCCCTGCAACTGGCAGCCTTGGTACCTAGGAGCTTGGCACTCAGTCTCTGGCCTGACACCAGGTATCACAACCTGTACTTAAACAAGATCCCAGGGAGTCCTGTGCATGATATACTTTAAGAAGCTCTGCTCTGTTCCATTTTTTAAAGAAATAGGACATCTGTGATTATTTGGATTCTCTGCTTTTAAACAGAGGCAATATCTTAGTGCTCTTCAGTTTTTCATGGTGACTCTAATAAAAATTACAGAATATCTCACCAGAAGGGAAATCAAGTATATGCTCATTCATTGATTCACTACACAAATATTTTCCAAGTTCTTTTATTACCCAGAAAATGCTGTATAGATATTCTGGAATTGGTCATTCTGTTTAGAACATCTGAAGCCTATGGAACCTTCTAGAATCTTCGCCCAAAGTGGGCATTGATTCTCTTTTGCTTGTTTGTTTTGTAAAAGATGTTATTTGTATTTTCTAGGAGTTTTAGTTGAAGTAACTAAGGAAAGGTATTTCCTAGGAAAAGCTTCCTAACAGTAAAGTCTATGGAAAAATGGTGAATTTTCCTTAGGCAAATTGACAACTCCACAGAATGGGCAAAATCGGCTGTTTGTATATCCTTAAAAATCCTCCTAAAACAAGGGACTCTAGATAGGCTGACTAGACTCAGGGGATGGACTTGTGCTGGGGAACTGCTAGGGGCACTGACAACACAGTGGACAGCAACAGGGATGATAGAGTATATGGGCTCCAGGGTGTATGGGGGGGGCGCTATGGGAGGGTGCCGTTTGGATTGTGGGTATAAAGATGAATAAGATTGTTTGGGGTGCACAAAAAAATAAATAAAAAAAGCCCCTCTCTCCCTACCTTAACAAAAGGTTAGCATTTTGAAAGCTATTTACATGGTATTTACCTGACTGAGTTATGGCAAACCTCCAAAAATAATTCTACCTAAGGTGAAATGAAGGAAATAGTAGTTCTAGCACAGAAGAAATCAACTTTAGGGTAGAAGTCTAAATTCCTTCCCAGACACTGTAAAGATTCATTGTTTTTCTCCAAGCATCTGTAGTGGACAGTCAACATTTTATAACTAAACCTTGAGATTGCTTCTTACAAGGCACAAGTCGTGTTTCCAAAGCAAACTGCCTTTACTGTGCCTCTAAATCATCTCACAGGCCAGAAAATACCTCAGATTGGGGGAAGACTAGAGAAAATTACATGCTCTATTGTTGCCTTCCAAAAAACAATAAGCAACAATTTTCAGTGCCTAACAGCCTTTACAGTCTAAGTATCTGAAGAAATCAAATAATACTCTTTTATGCTGCTCAGAGTTGATAAAGACAGCCTGTACAGGACCCATGTAGGCTCAAGCAGACAAAAACCCAGGACAGAAACCCAGGGGAAATGGGCAGCAGGCCCCAATCTCAGCTGAAGAAATATTGACAACTGATTACTGCTAGGTGAGGAAGAGCTGATCTTCCTAAAGCAAGGGACTCGAGATAGGCTGGCTAGACCTCAGTGGATGGACTTGCACTGAGGAACATCAAGGACACTCACTTGACACAATAGACCTTAAGACAAATGACAGAATGTATGAATTCCAGTGGTGGGGCTATAAAAAGATTCCGGTGGGGAAGGGGGTATAAAGATGATTAAGACTGATTGAGATGTATGAAATACACAAAAAATCAATAAAAAAAACCAGAGGAAGGGGTGGGGTGTTACCTGGAAGTGTCTGACCACTATGTTGGCAAGCTATAGTCACACCTCCTTTCCAGCTCATCAAGGAATAGAGGTGGAGTCAGTTACCCCTCCCACCTAATCAGTCAACCTTAGCTACATGTGGGGGAGGGCTAAGGATATACAAGCTGAGAACGCCATGAGGCACCTCTCTCACCATTTTGTGAGGCTGTCAGGAGGTCACAGGATCTATATTTGAGTGTGGACTTTCCAGTGCAGCTGTAAATGGGGGGGCACTCTTCTGTAAATAAACCTCCACCCTATGCTCTGTTAGTAAACCCAATAAACAAACAAACAAAAAGAACAGAGCTAATGGAAACCTTCATTAGTCTACCAAACTTGACCCCATGTTGGCAAATCCTTTAGTCTTTGATTTCTTATTCCTACTTTCCTTCCCTTAAACTTCATTGTATGTACACTTTTATGTAACCTGCTTTAAGTTATTTCTGGAAAATGTGTTAAAAATTGCCTCTCTTTGGAATAATAAAAATATTTTAAATTTTTTAAAAAATTAACATAAAAAAGTGCTATGGTAAGGTCAAATCGCTCTGTTACCACCTATTCCTTTGGGAGAGTAAGAAAAATACTAGTCATGAGCATGGACCACATAAGGAAAATAAACCTAGAGGATATCTCAGAGACCTCCTGTGAGCTCCTATGACTGCATGGAAGGGATTTATCTTTAGTTCTGTTTAAACAATGTGAGCAGGGGAAGCCCTTACAAAGAGTCTTTATGCTTCCTTTTGGCTTCCTTGTTTTCTCTTGTATTGTTTTTGTTCAATTAAATATGAATTTCCTATTGTTTGAACTCAGCCTTTTATTCTAGACCCTAGAACGAATCATTTTGTTCACATATATAGTCCATAAGCTTTGCACATGTTGCCATGGAGATGTCCTGGATGCTGTTGATGTGGGGAGCCCTCCCAGAAGCTTCTCAGCTGTCCTTGAGAGCAGCCGAAGTCTGCACATTGTGGCTGTTTCGATCCATGACACTCCCTGTCTCCTTAGCAGCAGAGAAGAGGCCTCCTGGTCTCTCTTACCCACCTCCCTAGGCCAGCCATCACCTAGCAACAGGCAAACAGGGATAGGCAGAAACTGGCTCAGCTAGCGTCTCACTGGGAAAGTAACTGCTTGATGCCATAAATTACTGTGTCCTGATTTGATAATTGAAAACAGATTTGCCACGCTGCTAAAGAGTGGTTAACGGCTGCAGAGGCCCCTTAATGTGTACTGTGTTCTTAAAGCTAACAGCCCATTTCTAATCCTTTTGGAAGGCAGGGGCCTTTCTGCTTTGAGCATTGCATTTCTCATCAAAGAAAGTTTGGTGGAAAATGGAGTTGCCAAAAGGATTCATTTAATAAACATCTTTTGCCGACTACTATGACTATTAGCATTGATGAGGAACTAGAGAAAAAAAGAATGAAGGCTGTGCCCCTTCTCTAAAACAATCGAGGCTTAGGCCTACTGAGGGCTGGGGAGATGACTCAGTAGACAAAAATACTCTATGCACACATGAGAACTTGAGTTTCACCCTCAGAACCCACATGAAATGCTGGTCATAGTGATGTGAGCCTATAATCCTACCACTGGGAAGGCAGAGGCAAGAGGATTCCTGGGGCTTGTGGGCCAGTTAGTCTACCTAATTTGGTGAGCTCCAGGTTCAATGAGAGACCCTGTCACAAAAACTAAGGTGGGGAGCAGCTGCATAGACATTTGACATCAACCCGTGGCCTTCATATTCTCAGACACCCAGGTTCACATACATCTGCACACACATGAACATGTACATAAACACACACACACTACTGGAGTCCATTCAGCTGCTATGTACTGTAGTGCACATTGCACTAGAAACAATGGTTGAAAGAATGATAATGAAATGGCCTCAGTCACTGATGCTGGCACCCAGGACTGACAAGGGCTTCCAAAGCAAAGTGCTTCTCAAATCACAGCATCTTAAAGATGTTGATGGGTGGGGGGAGACCATGATGTCTTTAGCTTTCCCACCCCTGACACAATCCATAACAGCTTTTCCTCATGCTCTTCGTGAAACCAGACTCCTTGACTTACATCTTTCTGTGTTCTATTCATTCCCTGTAAGAGCAAGCTGTTTCAGGAGTCAGTCGTGTTGGTAGATATTGGATGAGGCCCAACAGCAGCAGCCTTTAGGCGCCTTCCCCTTGAAGAATTTATCTGATGTGTCTGAAGAGAAGAAAAGGCATGACGACCTTGCCAGAGAAGGCTTCAGATCACAGGAGTGATTTAAGCAGATTTCTATGCCGCTTGTGCAGAACAGGCCTCACCAGCCTTCACTCTCAGAGGAATAATCGTATTTTCGGTAAACCTCTGCTTAGTAATAAATCTCCATGCTTAAGCAATGTCTTCTTTCCCTTATGTAGCAGTCTAGCTCACTGTGATGTATCCTCACTTGAACTGGCTCTGCACCCTAGAATAGTGCCATCCATGGGACTTCCTGCAGTGATGCTAGCATAGCCACCGGAGACTCTTCTTGTTCTTTTAAAAATATTATTTGAGGGGCTGGAGAGATGGCTCAGCAGTTAAGAACACTAGCTTTTCTTACAGAAGACCTGGGTTTGAATCCCAGCATCCACATAGCAGCTAACAACTATCCATAACTCCAGTTCCAGGGGATCTGGCAGCCTCTTCTGTCCTCCTGGGCATTGCATGACATGGATGCGCTTACCTACATGCAGGCAATACACACATACACATAAAATAAAAAATAATAAATAAAATATTTTTTAAATATTATTTGAAAATTTCACACACGAATATAATATATCTTGATCAAATCCACTCCAGATGCCCTCCCCTCCACCTCTTTTCCCTCCTAACATTATACACTTCTTTTTAAATCCACTGAGTCACCCTAGTGCTGCCAATATGTGCATGGGTATAGGGCCATCCACCATAGCATGGACAGTCTATCAGGGGCCACATCCTGGGAAAACTGCCTGTCCCTCCCCCAGCTATCAATTGCCATTAGCTCCTCACCCAAGGATGGTCACTTCACCTTCTCTATCAGGGCTGGCTCCTCTTTCCTGTGCTTGCTACAGGCTCAGCAAGTCCATGGAAGAGAAGACAGAGGCAAGATAGGGTTCTGTGCAGACCTCTGGTCTTGAGAATTAGGAAATCTGAGTCCTGATTATGACAATGACAACTGCTGTGTGACTTTGGACAGTACCTGACTCCTTAGAGTCAACCTCTTCTAGTCTACAGCAGCCTTCTCAGTGCTCACCTACCTTCCTGAGTCTTGTAACTGAGGGAAAAAAATTTAAGTTTTTAAAGTACTTATTGGAGATGGAGAGATGGTTTAGCAGTTAAGAGCACTGGCTGCTCTTTCAGAGGATGGGTCAATTCCCAGCACCCACATGGCAACTAACAACCGTCTGTAACTCCAGCTCCAGGGCAATTCAAAGCCCTCTTCTGATCTCCATGGGCATTGCATGACACAGGCTTAGCTTTCTGAAAGAATTCAGGGAGATAATAGAGACACAGAAATCTAGAGACCAATGAGGTAATACAAAGGTCAACACAGTAGGTCTGCATTCTGCAGGTCCAGTATTACCCACTTTCAAAACAGTAAACTTAATCCTGCCCTGCCTGCACACACAGGCATATTTTTATACTGACATAGCACTTTCTTAATATCTTTCCTTCTACCTCTCAACTCTCCAGTAGACAAATGGGAATTACTTTAGTTAGACAACTTTCTTCTTAAAAAAAAATACATGTACAACCTGAGAGTTTGGACTAATATAAGCAACATCCTACCTCCAGCCTTTAAGTTATCTTACCAAAACAAGACAAGTGGTGTTTCTGGAGTTGTTTGGTTTAGAGCTTGGGCTCTGGCATCTAGGTATAGCCACCTGTTCTCAATAGTTAAAAACAAAACAAGTTAACAGTGAGAAGCAGAGAAAGGACATGTATTGACTGGCCACAGTAGGAAGAGGAACACATGAACAGGCCAAATGGCAGTCCTCCCACCAGTCCAATTTCAGAGTCCTGACATGAGGTTTAGGTTAACTACAGGGTAAGAGTTAGACATAGCAAGCAATTCTGATGAAAGTGTGATCTGCCCAGCTCATGGCTGAGCCATCACTGTCTGGCTCCAGTCTGTCCTACAAGGTGGTCTCTTTCACTAGTTGTCAAAGCTCTTTCTGAAGGCAAGTTCCTTAGCCTTTTCTTTCTCTCAACATGAGATTCCTGGGTTCATTCTAATTTCTTGGGGTCCTTTGCTCCAATAGTCTGGTGGCCCAAGGGATAACACAAGTGTCTCTCTAGAATATTGTCATTCCTGTCAGGATGGTTCCAATAGAAGCAGCCAGAAGAAACCAGCAGTGTTCATAGCATATGGCTGTCTTTGTATCAATAACTATTCAGGAAACCACACTTCCTGAATGCTTACTCTGTTCCAGCCACTGTTCTCAACTCACATAATCCATAAAAGCAACAAATAGCAATAGTCTACTCATCTAGTAAGTTCAAGGCTGCTTCAAGTACTCTTCACCATCCAGTGAGACTGATAGTCCTAATAGCCTGACTTTACAGGAACATAAACTGAGGCTCAGAGAAAGTAAGTGAGTTGCCTCAGGTCACACAGCTGTATGGGCTCCAAATCAATCTTCCCAAAGCCCTGATCTTTACCATGCACCCCACTGTCTGTATAGACTTCACCTATGTTCACAGATCTCATTAATTTTCATCACAGTTTAAGTATCTTTCCTTCCACCCTTCTCAAAGCCTATGCCAGAAGATACAGGTTCTACCCCCTGTTGAAGCAGTATATTTTTAATTTCCCCAAACAGGACATTAAAGTTTATGGCCTTTGCAGTCTTACAGGAAAGGGACCATGATCATAAATAATGGAGGTTTTGTCTCTATACCTCCAAATATCCAGCAGCAAAGTGAAGGGTTCTGACTTTATTCTGTTTCCAGATCCCCAAATGGTATGCAGCCTTGACGGAGTCAGGCAGAGAATGATCTCTGTCTTTTGGTCTGAATATTGAGTTTGTCATTCTCAACTCCTGTGTGACCTCAGGAAAATGATTAAATAACTTTTCGCTTCAGTTCCCACTACTATAAACTGAGAATAGCTTCTTTGTAAGGATTATAGGAAATTATTTGTACCTGTCTAGAATTCAGGAGGTATTTAATAATGCACAGCCATTTTCCTTCTTCCCTGCCTCCTCATTGCTGTGAAGCTATCTTTAAAGTGATTTTTATCTTCATCAATTAGCCTAATCTAACTGCTTTATGTACAGCAATGACCAGGTGACAGGATGCAGGAAGCTTCTGGCTGGGAGGGGCCAGGCCATGCTCTCATAAGTCACAAAGATAAGGTCAGAGTCAAGCTTTTCCATGGAAGACCTACTGTATTAAAATCTTAAGTAACGTTGCTGGGAAACCTTAAAGTGGCAGTAAACGGTTTATCTTAGGTTGTTATTAAATGTCCTATAGCTAGGGCTATGTGAAAGTTCACTAACCTTAGAGGAAAAACGTCAATATGGCCTTATCCTTCTAGAACAATGTTGTTTTATTCTTCTCCGTTCATACTGTGGTAATACTGGCAAGGCCAACAAACTACTGGCTGACACAGGAAGCAGCGGGACTTTCTTGAATACACAGATCATAATGATTTGTAATCATGGTGTTGATGGTTTATCTGAGGCTGCAAAACCGTTGAGGTGCTTAGGAGAGGCAAACATTTGCACTGTATGGGGGAAGGAGAATCAGGACTTGCTAGTCAGACAGACCAGGTTTGAATCTTAACTCTTTCATTGCTTGTTGACTAAGTTGGGAAGATTATTGGATTTTCAGACCCCACCCCAAAGTTTCTTCAACTGTAATAGGGGGATAATAACAGCACTGGATTTCCAGAGTCATGGTCACCTGATTCTCAAAGTTGACTGCGGGAGAAGCCTTTTGGACGGCAGTTTTGTTGTTGTTGTTACTTTTCAGTACTAGGGATTGAACCCGGAGCATCATGTATGCTAGGCAAGTGCTCTAACACCGAGCTTTATTCCCAGCACTCTTTTTCCTTTTTGTTTTGAAGACAGGGTTTTACCAAGTTCCCAGGCTGGCCTTGAACTCATTCTGTAGCTAAGGCAGACCTTGAACTTGTGATCTTCCTGTCTCAACCTCCAGAGTAGGTGCAATTATAGGCCTTTGCTACCACGTCAAGCTGTATTAGGGTATTAAACATCGGATCCTGGACCCCACTTCTGGAGTTTCTGGTTCCTTAGATCTAGGGAAAGCTAATAGTTTGCATATCTAAAAATTTCCAGATGGTGCTTTTGCTACTGGTCTAGGGACCTCACTTTGAGAGGTGCTGGTGTTAAGGGTCAGGAAGAAAAAGCAGAGACAGTACCATGCTTGGTGCTTGGCACAAGTGAAGACCATGCTAAACTGTAGTGATGATCATGGTGATGCTGACCACAGTGATGATTGATTGATTGATTGATTGATTGATTGATTGAGTGATTAATTATGTACCCTTTCTCATATGACATTTTTATATTACTAGGTGTGGGCAGAAGAAAAAGCTGGTGATCAACAGTGGCAATGGGACTGTGGAGGACAGGAAGCCAAGTGAGCTTAATGGAGAGGCCAGCAAGTCTCAGGAAATGGTACATTTAGTGAACAAGGAGCCATCAGAAACTCCGGACCAGTTTATGACAGCTGATGAGACCCGAAACCTGCAGAATGTGGACATGAAGATTGGGGTGTAATGCCTACATTATTAACCTGGAAAGATACCACAGATGGAGCTACACCATTATAGGGAGCTGGGACCCTTAACAGATGCAATGTGCTACTGATTGTTTTTATTGGGGATTTTTTTTTAGCATAAAATTTTCTATTCCTTTTTGGGTTTTTTTTTGTGTGTTTTTTTCTTAAAGACACTTCCAATCTATAAAAGCAGCATTGCTTTCTGAAATGAGGGCCCAAAGAAAACTTCATTCAGAATTTGACTGTTCCAGTTCCTTCCTAGAGGCCTTGCATCCCCAGGGTGTGCTATGAATGGGCTCTAACAAATGCATGTACCTGATCCTTACCTAACCTTCTCTGTAACCCAAGTCCTAGGCAACAGATAACATCTAGGGACATTCCCCAAGGCTTAGAGGGATTGGTCCCTGAGAGGACATTTGAATGGATCCATATTGCCTTTCTAGCAGCCCAATCCCTGGGCATTGCTTTCCAGCGGGGTGGGGGTTCAGGTGTACTGGTTACACGCCCTCTTTCACAGACTACTCCTCCCCACCTGGAAAACTTTCAGATGCTTCTGGGAGACACCCCAAGGGTAAAGCTATTTATCTGTAGTAAGCTATTTATCTATGTTTTTGAAATATCAAACCCTGGAGGTCCTTCGTTCAGTATGTTTTTTAGGTTATTTTGTCAGAAGCATATCAAGGTTTAAGTTGATTTATAATAAATACCTGTTCGTCTTCCATCTTAGCCCTTTGTGCTCTGATCCTTCAGTTTCTAAACCAGCAAGGCCTGGTTCTCCAGAACTCATCAGAATGATCTGAGAATGGTCCTCTTTAAATTCCTGTCAGAGCACCTATGCGCCACTCAGGCTCACCCAGCTTTTAAGATCAAGGAAGGAAGTACTGTGTTGTTTCTGAGGTTGCCCAAAGGTTTTCTGTCCTTTTTTGGAATCTGAATTGTGAGCAAAAGAGCTTCAGCCACTTTTGTGTTTTAATGGCCACCCTTTTTCTCTCCTAAATGGCTTTGAAAAGTCACATTAAGTTTTCATAACCTACAACTTTTGGGGTCCTACTTCATAAAGACTGACCCTATCAGTGATTTCCTAAAACAGTATGGCAGTGACTTTTGACACCTTGTAAACAAAGAAGCCAAGAGATTTGGAAGCATGTGGAGAATGAGCAGCAGATTGGCGTAGGCTGAAGGAGGGTGAGGAATCTGTTCTGGTACTTTAACAGATGTGTTTGCTGATACCTTCACAAGCTAGTTGCTCCTCAGGATGAGTTGCCTGAGGAATTCTTCAAAATGTCACAGGGTTGCCCACTATTGGAAGCTTATTATCCAATAAGCAGGTTTATGGTTAAACATAAACATGTTACCTTCTGACCTCATATTTTTCACATTCTTGGCAAGTCTTTGGTGATAGTTATTCAGTAGTCAGGATACTCCATTGTTCTTGGAACTTCTCAAGACTATAATAGAAAAAAAATGAGATCTATAAAGTAAGGGTTCCTATAAAATAGGCCTCCTTTCTTAGGCTTCTAGGAAAGTCACTTGTCTAAATTTGTATGTTTAATATTTTTCAAATTAAAAAAAACAGGTGAAAAATATTTCCCACCTAAATCAGGTTTGAGTTTATCTTAAGAGTAGATTTGAAGGTTTTATTTAAAGGAGATGTATAGACATTCTAATACTGGTTCCCGGCTTCAGCAATTCCTACCCACCCTCCTTCCCCTCTCTTTCCCTGCCTACTGCATGGCTTTCCATCCTTGCTATGACTTTCAAAAACCCTTCTTTCTCCTAGTTTTCTTTTTATTTTCCAATTGAAAGAAAATGGATATCAGGCTATTCTGTATCTTTCTTCCACTGGTGTTACAATGTCCCTGTCTTCTAAGAGCTGTCCTGGGCCTATGAACACCCCTCATGCGGCAAACCACTCCTAGATCAAGTACAGAGGGCTATGCCAGGCTCTACCTGACCCTCAGATGCTCTCTGGGGCCCAAGGAGAGCAATGCAAGTCTCAGAGACATGGATTTTAGGCATTGCTAGCAATTGGGCTGGGGTGGGAGATTATTTGGTTTGATGGTGATGACTCTGGAAGCACAATTTGACTCTCTGTTGTTCCTACCAATGACTTGCCAGGTGCCCTGGACTAAATCATTTAACTAGTCCTCATTAAAAGGGGGGGGGGCCTACATTTAATGATTTTATAAACCAACGTGAGCACATAAGATGTTATTTTCCCAGCAACTGTAAATCGCTCGTGGATCCTAAGGGCTTTCCTTAAATTAAACTTGAGTAGAAATGAAATGAGGCAAAGGATACCTTCAAGTCTGTATTTTGTAGGTCAGATGAAATGGATGTTTCCAGAAGACCCTATCAAAAAGTTTTACATTGAGATCCATAACAGGAAGAATTGATTTTATAGCCAACATCCATTTGTGACAGCAAAGTAGAAGAAATATCCAACTTCTCTAGAAGAGTAAAATGTGCTTAAGAACAAGAATAACAGAGTCCATTCACATTTATGTCCTAAGTATATCTTTGTGTAAGTCCATTGTGTTGACTTTTCAAAGACAGCCAATTGTTCTGTACGTATACTGACCTTTGCTATTGTTACTTTGATTTTTTAGAGCTCTACTTCCACTTTTTCTGGTTTTTGTGTATTTATTGATGGACCAATGATAATGAGGAAAACATTATATGTATACTGCCCAACTGAAAGTGTGTATTGGAAAGTATTAAAAGGCTAACATTAAAAGGTTATAAGAAATGGACCCAGTAGTCTGTAATGTAAGGGGGGGCAGGAAGTAGAGGGGGGCAGAGCACTACCTGGCTGTCTGAGAAATATAGAAGAGAGAAGTCAGAGGTTTCTAAAGTGACTGAGTCTGATTCCTCTTTCCTCTTCTCTCCTTCTTTCCTTCCTTCATTTCACTTTCTTCTTTCTTTCTTTTTCTTTTTCTTTTTTAGCAGGGTATAGCCCAGGCTAGTACTGAACTAGCTGAGGCTGACCTTGAAATCTTTGTTTTTTCCTTCCTTCTTCCGTTTTCCATTTTCTATTTTGTGTGTGCATGTTTTGCATATGTGTGGTCATGTTTGCATGTGTAAGGGCACGTGTATGTGGTGTGTGGGTTCACATGCATGTGTGTGTTCATGCATGTGGAGGCCCAAAGTTGATGTCAAGAATCATCCTTGATCACTCTTATTCATTGAGGCAGAGTCTTTCAATCAAACCCAAACTTCATCAATATAGTCCTGTTAGCCAGTTTTCTCTGGGGTCACAGACAGGCCACCATGCCCCCTAGCATTTTACCTGCGTTCTGGGGATCCAAACTCTACTCCTCATGCTTATGCTGCAAGTGTTTTAACCACTGAAGTACCTCCCAGCCCTTGAACACTTCATCATCCTGCCTGTATCTCCCAAGTGTTGGAATCACAAGCATGTATCACCACCCCTATCTTTTTCTCATTTTTTTCTAAAAGAAGAAAAAAAGCTCATGGGTTTCCATCACTTGAGATTCTTATGGAAAAGTTTGACTTTCTCATAGATGCATGGTTTCAGATGCTTTGATGTATCACGTCCTTAAAAGCCCAGAACTACTATTGGACTCCCAGTTTAAGAGACAACAATGAGCAGAGAAGGGCTGGGGATGAGGCTCAATTGGGAGAGTACTTTCCTGGCACACACCAAGGCCCCGAGTTCCATCCCCAGCACATACTGGGTACACACCTATAATCCTAGCACCTGGAAAGTAGAGGCAAGGGGATCACAAGTCTAAGGTCATTCTTGGCTACATAGTGAATGTGAGATTGGCTTAGGTTACAGATACGTGAGACCCTATTTCAAAAAAGAAAAAGAAAAAGAGAAAGAGAAAGGAAAAAGACATTCTAAAAGGAAAATAAATAACTGAGTAAGGAGCTTAGAAGATGAGATAACAGTGTCCAAAACTTGAATCTGGAAAAGGATGGTAAATTGGTAATTGATCGAAAAAATCTGGAAGGGCCAAACCTTAAATCAATTGCAGGGAAAGCTAAAATAATAACCAAACTTATGTGGGTGAGCCTTCCAAAGGCTCAGAAATTGGCAGTGCTAGCTACTCTGAAAGGGATAGGGAAGGAGGAGTTCAAAGTCTATAGAAGCAGTAAGAACCCCAGACCCGCCCTCCACTCTCTGAAGCTTAGTAATGTCCTTTCGTAATCCCCACAGAAAGCCAGAAATATATTTTCTGAAGAGGGAAAAATAGAGATTGAGGGGCAAAAAGATGTGCACAATTGATGTTATAAATGTCACACCAATAAAAAAAAAGAGGTTGTATATATGGAAATGTTCATATTCCCTGGCCTTCTCCCTCCTTGGCTTCCAGAATCCTTGGCAGATAGGCCTGGGTCCATCAGGAGGAAGCTTAGTCTTTTTAAGGAATTTTATAGGCCTAAGAGAAAAGCCCGAAGGTACTATGATAGTGTTCCTGGGAAAGGAAGAAAGACAGTGTGGTGAGGTCACTTCTCAAACTTCCACCTTCCGTGAGTTCCCTCCCATTGAGAGGGCTTTAAGTCCAATTAGAGAGCTTTGATTACTAGTAGTGGTGCCACTACTGCACCAATAGAGATAGTTTGCTGTGCTAGTCATTGCGGTTATTAAGCTTTACAGCTGGCTTGGACCATTGACTGATATTCTTCCTTAGCAGCTTGCATAGTATCCTGTAGAACTATGAGAGCTAATCTTTAGGGAGAAGTCTTCCAGGTCAGTTCCAGTTCCATTGCTCCAAGTCCTGTATCCAGAGTATGTACTGTCTTCAGCAATAGGATCTTACTTTCAAGTTCTGGGGGTAATCAAGGGCTGTGGCAATAGCCTGTGTTGATTTGGGATCTCTTGGACTACTCTGACCAACAACTTGAAGGCCCTAAATGACATACCTATGCCTAAGACTTATGGAACATAGTGGAACAGGGGGTAGAGAGAATACTAATACATATACCTCAACTCTCACAAGTGAAGCTTCCTCATACAGAAGGTCACAACTGGCCAAGTTTTAGAGAATAAAAGACTGTAGAGTGTTTGTCCCTATATAGGACTCATATCAAACCTCACTTGCCATGGCTCAGGGACCATTGAGGAAGATGAGGGGCAGAAAGATTGTAAGAGCCAGGCTTGGTGCATGAATATAAGGAAACAGAAACTTCCAGGTCTCTATGAATTTGCTCATATGAACTTGAAACAATGGTGCCAGCATGCACAAGACCCATGCTGACTCAATCAGACAAAAATCCAGCATAGAACTTAGGAAATGGGCAGTAGGCCCCAACCTTAGCCAAGGAACTATTGGCAACTGATTACTTGAGGGAGAATTGATTTTCTGGGAGTGACTCTAGATAGGCTGACTAGACTGTAAGAGATGAACTTGCATCAAGGGACATCTAGGTACAAATGCTTGACTGGATAGGCCTTAACATATATGCCAGAATGCATGAAATTCTGTGGGGCCGTATGAGGGGTTCAAAGGGGGGAGGGGGATCTAAAGTTCTTTAAGATCTGTTAAATGAAATGCAGAAAAGCTCAATAAAATATACACTAAAAAAGAGATACAGGAAGAAAACAGAGACAGTGGAGAGGAGAAATCATCCAAGAAATGAATCCAAAAATGTACTAGAATTTATGAATATCAATATCTCACTAAGGACCAAGTGAGTGCTTAGTAAAATAGACAAAAACAGAACCACACTAAGTCACATTGTCTTAAATACAAGGAAACTAGACACCATGTGGTCGTTGCATCTATGAGCCCGTGTGCAAGACCTGTTCAACCCAAGCCAGACAGGGATCCAGCATGGATGGGGAGGTGAGCAGGAAGCCCCAGTCCTAGCTGAGGATCCACTGATAAGTGACAGAGGCTGGGAGAGGGAGAGTTGTTTTCCTTTACTGGTATGATGCCTGGACGCTGACCAGACTCCAAGGGATAAACACACCCCCAAGAGCATTAGGAAACACAGAGTAGACTCAATAGGCCTTAAAAAAAAGAGACATAAAAATAAAAGGCATGAAGTTGGAAGGGGAGGTTAGGTGGGAGCGGAGCGAGGGGAGGGGGTCTGAATAACAATAAAAATGATCAAAATAATATTTTATGAAATTCTTGAATCAATGAAAGTATTTTTAAAAATTTATAACATTTAGGACAATGAGATGATCCTGCATTTTCTAGAAAGGAAAGTGGGCATTATACAGAGGATCAAGTCAGACTAGGGCAGGGGTATAATGGCATGGGACTGAGTATGATGGTGTGCAGCAATAATCCCAGCACTCAAGAGCCCAAAGTGGGAGGATGGGAAGCCTGATGAGGCCAGCCTGGGCTACATAACAAGACCATATCTCAAAACAATAAAATAAAACAAAACAAACAACAAAAAGATTCATAATCAGACTTCTCACCAATTGTATTGGAAGAATGGCAGCCATGAAGTATTCTAGGATGGACACTTACAGCTTGGGGGAAGCATTCCAGATGGAAGATGCCAAGAACCTCAGCTATTGCTAAGAAAAGTAATCTCTCACTCTCAGACCACACTGAGCCTGACTCACATCTCTGAACCTTTAGATATCCTCATCATATCAAGGACTACTAGAATTATAAAATAGTAGACCTTCAAGAATAGGTGGCTTGAGATTTAAGGTGGAAATAAATAAATCTCATGAAAGTGTTTTGTTTAGCCAGAATTAAATTAAACTAATTTAATTAGACTTCAAAAAGTCTTGAGGGACTTGTTTCTAGGGTAGCCCTGCAACTGAGCTAAACTACAAATTAAGGGTAAAAAGAGATTGAAGATATTTCAGATATGCACACTCTAAGCCCATTCACCCATTCTTAGGAAACTCCCAAAGGATGCGGTCTACCTAAAATAATGGCATTACCAAGAAAGGGGAAGATATGCATTTCAGAAAATAGAGTAAAGAGATTTCCTTAAAAAGGTAAAGGGAGATCCCAAGGGAAGACTGTCCATCTAATCTAGAGAATAAACAGTCCAAATTGGAGAACTCACTAAAAGTGGAACCAATACATGTTTTTGCCTTTGTTGACTCCTAATTTAAAAGGAAATCACATTTGGGCTGTATAACTACCGATGCAATTAAAAAGAATCCCAAGAGAAAGAACCATTATCTGTAGGTCTGTACCCACTGATGAGCCCACCAGGCTCCAACAGGTAGCTCCAAACCCATGGTCAGACAGACAGTCCTGCTTAGCCTCGATGGATCACAGAAAAATGAACAGATAGGAATATGAGAGAGATTTGGGGAGGGAGGTATACTGAGATGGGGTGTGTGTGTGTGTGTGTGTGTGTGTATGTGTGTGTGTTGAAAGTTATTAGTATGCATTGTATACATGTGCAAAATTGTCTAAAAAAATGTAATTAATAAAATATTATTTTAAAAGTAAGCCTGAAAAAGCCTCCAAAATTAGCAGTGTAAAATAACAGACATTTATTTATTTCTCCTAAGTCTACTGGTTGATGCACTGTGCTACAGATCTGGACCAGCTTAGTTGACTCATTCATGTTTGTGTTGTTAATAAACTGCTCAGTAAGAAGCTGCCTGATCTGGAATGGCTTCATCTTGGATGCCTGGACTTTGTTTCCATGTGTCTCTCACACACTCCCTTCTGGCTTGTCTAGGCCTGGCAGGGACCCAAAGGGGAACTGATGTTCACATAGCTCCTGGAGGCCAAAGCCAGAATGAGTACTCTGATACCATCTTATCCTACTGGCCAAATCCAGACCTAGGAGCACC